ATAAAAACTGACTTGAGAAATGATTAACCTTGATTTATAAATGTGACTGAAATATTCTGTAACAGTTCATGAAAGTAGAGTAAAACAAGTTACAATTTGAATGAAAATACAACTAAAGTAGGTTAAAATGAAAGGGCCTTTGTGTGGTACACTTGATCTGGACAATTGGGAAAAGTTCAGCAATGTACAGGTCAATATAGTGTGCACAACAAAGTATTGATCCATTGATCAATTTCAAAATTAAATGTTTTTAGTATAGCAATGTACAGGGAAGTACAGCAATACCAAAATGTTTGGTCTGGTTACTACAATATCTTTCCTCTGTAATAACTTTCAACATCTAAACAGAGGTTGAATTGTAGGGGCAAAAAAAAAGATCTGAACATATTTAATATGACCTTGATGGTTACTGAAAGGTGGAGGGGAAAGCATAGAAAAAATAAATTAAAACATCTACATTTCCAAATGTGGTTACTAAATGTTATTTGATCTACCACAAAAATCACCAAATTTGTACAATTTTAACATTTAAAACACACTCATCACTGAATGTATCAATAGCCTTTCCTAATTTCAATTTTAAGCATGCATTGAAAACGTATAATAATAGAAAACAGCAATAACAATGAACAGAGGCATACTTGGGAAACCAGTTGAGGCCCAGATGCTCTGTTTTCGAGAAAAGAATCCGGTCGTGGAGCTCGTACAGTGGTCTCCATGGCAGCTCAAGGTCTTCCCTTGACAGCAGTTCCCTTTTCCTGTTAGTTAAAATTGAATTAGTATATAAAGATCATGGCTCATACAACTTAACACAATGTAAAAAATGCAGATCTCAATGTTTAGTCTGAGTCTGTGGTGGATTTTCAGGTTTTGTTTTAAAACCTACATGGTTTTAAAACAAAACCTTGAATCTTGAGGAACCAATGCCCACTCAATAATATATATTTACTGTGAAATTTTAAGTATGAAGAAGTTACATGTGTACAAGGTGTTGTGTAAAACAGATGGGGCCCATTCTTACTTGAGGAGGTTGATAAGAAGCCGAGCAAGGCCCTGCATCATGCTGATCTCCAGTTCGGAGATCGTCACTAGCTCGTAGAGCAACTTGATGAATAGTACATGGTCTTCTTTGCTGAACTTCCGTCCATACAGCCTCATGTACCTTAATAAGAAATACAGATTTAAGGATCATTGGTCCAGTTTAGACAGGTATAGTAAACAGTCAGAGCACCTGTGAGCCGCATGGAAAACCCAAACTCAGGTGCTTATACTTTCTGGTGCAAAAGAAAAGGAACACAGAGAGTGAGAACACAGGCTCATTTATTTTATACAAGCTCAAAAAAACTTAATTGAGACCTTTAAAATTGCCCATTATAAAAGGTCTGTATTACTGTTAAAATACCGTATTACCAGCGAACAGAATCTGGGTCAACCCCACAGTAAACTTTCCATCTCTCTGAGCCGGCAATGACTCACTCTTGGACAGGCCAGTGTGCCAGCATTGGGGACTGAAATGGATTAAAATCAGCCCGGCAACCAAGTACAACAAAATGAAACAGCTCTCTGTGTCATATTCCACTGTCAAGTTAACGGTGTTCTACAGGTGCCATGTGACATATTACTAAATGACTGAAGCAGGAATGTAAAGGGTGTGAACGCAAGACTTGGTTAATCTGATTGGCAGTCAACTTTCAACAGATAACAGACACTAAAACCATATGAAAGACTGCGTATCAGGAGCTGGGTGTGAATGGGAATCCTCTAACACAACTCCTCAAGAATCTGATTAAAACGTGTTTGTGTTTATTTGGAGATATCCTTTGAGAGTTGTCAGCTGTCCAGAACACAAGGAGAGCAGCAATGTCAATGACCCTCTGCTACTGCGCTGCACCGCCTGTGTCAGGTTGTGTAGTTCACAGTCTGAGGCCCCGGTTACGAAACTGTTGCCGTCCCTAATCAGATACACTGGGCTGTTTGTAGTCTCATAAAAACACAATAAACTGCAGAGCAACACATGCTTTCACCACCGGCGGATACGATCAGAGCCAGTCATTCACCGGACCGAGTTCAAGCCTCAGTGTTGCCTAACATCGAACATGAGACGCACAGAGAGATGTTTGTATGACTGGGAATAATAACTAGATGCTAATGTTATGCTAGCAGGGCAGAGATTAGTGCTACTTACGTGGAAAGTTTCCTCGTCCAGAACAGCACCCCGGGCCATATCTCTCTGAGCTGAACCGCTCGGCTCAAGTTTCCTTTGATTTTGCTCAGAATCGCATTGGATTCCGCGTCGAGTCTGTCCGCGTAGGGCAGAAGTTTGTTGTATACTATGTCTTTTTGAGGAGCGAAACCCAGCGTGTCCGACTGAGCCTTCTTCATGCTGCCGACCCCAACCGACTAGCCTCGCCGAGCTAGCTGCAATAATCTCGACTGTTTGACTTCGCACAGAGCACCCGGCGCAGGGTTGTTATGCTAATGTGACAGCTAACGTAGCAGCTAGCAACTTCCGAGCTACGGGTACGGATGAACCCCAGCCGTAGCTATGGCCCGCGCGCTAACAAACGCACACACACACACACAATAACAACCACACGCTAACAAACACACGCTAAGTTAGGGGATTCACAAGTTAGGTAACACGCTAGCTAGCCACCTAGCTTAAGTTGAGTCAGCTTCTTTTCCCGGAAAACGCGTAAATTATCGGCGTCATATTTTCTGAAATGTTAAGACCGACGGAAAACACCGGTGTGTCGGGAGAAAGCGTCGGCACTCGCACTCCTCTCTTTCGGCTAGCGTTATCCTAACAGCCCCCCTGGTGATCCGCTAACGGTCTAGCTACAGTTAGCTCCCTACTACGAAATCACAGTCATATCCAGAGGACTGTCGACGTCGTCTGATCCGTCCAACTACGGCAGAGCAGACTGCAGACGACACCCAGCTACCAGCCAGAACACACGCGTCACGTCCGGGTCCCCTTAGCCACTGAGGCGTAAACTCCAGTCCCCAGCATGCCCCTCTCCATTCATGCTTTTTATAAATGTTTACCTTCTGGCCACTCGAACTGGAAGACTTGAAATCCACTTAGCACGTGTCCTCCGGTGCCTTTTCCACTGCTGCTCGTTTAGGTCATAAGATCTACTCGATGCTGTGAAAACAACCTATGCGGAAATACAGATACAAAACATTTGTAACAAGCATTAAGCATATTCTGTGCAAATATCATTCTGTCTGTGCAATACAATGGTTCATGTTCATATCCTCACACTGCACATATAGTTCTAGTTTTTACAATGTATTAATTAGTTTCCATTAATATTTCTCTTTATTTTTTATATTCCTTACACTTAAGTATTATTGTCCTTAATCTTAAGTGAACTCATTGTTTACGTACTGATGCCTATTTGTGACTGTTGCTGCTGTAATACTGCAACATTTCCCTATTGTGGGACTAATGAAGGATTATATTATCTTATCTTATCATGACACTTTAACTTCCCGTAGAAAATAACAGACTAACTGTACTTTGCACAATCCAGTCTTCTCTGGTGTTTATAGTATTATTGGTTTCATATTTTTATATTTTTTTATATTTATGCACCACAGCAAATTCCTTGTGTGTGTGAACCTGTTTGGCAATAAAACCTGATTCTGGTTTTATCTCATTTTATAAAGGCCAAATATAAAGTTGAGCGTCTCAGTCCACAAATCTTTTTTTCCCCAAAAGTAAAACAAAATGCAGTTTTTAAATTAAACCATGAATGTTAAAGTGGTGTTGTGAGTTGTTCTAGATGTCATCCTGTTTGTATGATGGTCTGTGGTTGCTCATCCCTGGTGATGAGAATCTGGTAGTTAACGGTAACCGGCCGCCATCTTGTGGCTAAAGTCACAGCTACACAAGAAGCAAGTGAAGAGGAGAGAGGTCTCACTCTGACTGTATTTCCATGCGTCACTGCGGGAAAATGCATTATATCCCACCAAAACGCCTCCACGTGTTGCTCGCGTCACATAACTTCACTGTTGATAGTTTTTAAGAGTAAAATATGCTTTTATAGCGCGTGATGTGATGTTTACGGGCAGCACATGTTTACCTTAAACGCGGCTATTGTTTTCGCTCGTGCGCGGGACGTCGCTCCGTCATAGACGATCTAATGTAGCGGAAGCTGATGCGGTGTCCTAGCAACCTGAAGCACCTGAAACTTCTGCATAGAGCAAAGCTCCTCATGTCAGCAGCTAACCCGACAAACTGCAGCTTTAACTTCAATTCAACTACTTTAAAACTAAATCAACTGATGCTCAGAGTCGAGTTAGGCCTCGTTTAATGTGGCGGAGCCAGCGTCTTGCTCGGTGGCGGCTTCACACGACACACAGGGCGGTGTGGGGGGTTCGCAGAGAAGCTAATGATGCTGGTCGAAAAGCTCAGTTTGACTTGTGATGGACTCAGAACACACAGGCAGCTCGCATGTTGTCACTGTTACTGTGGGATACCAGTGCACAACAAGGACATGCTGGTTTACAGTCATACAGACACTGAGATGAAGGTTTGTCAGAATTAACAGTGTGCATCAGTGGTTTTAGTAAGAATGCTATTGATCAGCTAGCTCCACTACAGGTTGATCAAGAGTCAACTACCACTGTCACCCATACTTCTGTAAATTATTCTCATGCTGTTAGAGTATTCATTTAAAATGCCATATAGAGCTCAACTAAACATTTTAAATAGTTACACAAGTGGCCACAATCTTGTAATATTGAAAAAAGAAATCATCTTAAAATATATATTGTCATACTTTACTTTATATCTTATTTGTATATTTTTTTTCAAGGTTGGGAAAGTACATACTTCCTTGTTGTATGTGTTTAATTGTAATCAGAGTCCTGTGTGGCCTCCAGCTTTGTTTGGTAGTACTTGTTGACACAAGGAGCCACAGACACATAGACACAGACAGCATGCATTTGTTCTAATGTACTGTGTGTTTTAGTGGAGTCTGGTTGTTTATCCGCAGCCCCTGCTGCTTACTGGGCACCATGGTGAGATAGGCGCCATGGCTTTTGGAAAAGGAAGCCGACCCGTTCTCCTCTGCTCTGCCTCTGCCGATTATATCATCGTCTGGGATGTGGAGCTCTGCCAGAAGAGAGTGAAGGAGGGTAAGGGAATAGTTTATCTGTTAATGTTTTTTTTGCATTTGTTTAATTTTGTGTTGTTTATATTCTTCATATTAAACCATACAGGATGTGCCAAAAATCATGTATTTGCCAAAATGCCAAATCCTCATCATCCTAATCCTCATTATAATTCCACACTATTTAAATTTCCTTTTTAGTTGTGGAGCTATATCAATTTCCTGAGAAAATATTAGCAAGCCTGCCATCTAGTGAAATATTACCACATGTCTATTATGGCCATGAGGTTATTTTGCTTGTTAACATTAATCAGAATGAATTGGTTTGCAGGTAAACTTGCAGCTGGAGTAGTAATCGGGACTTTACTGGGGGAAGTCGTCCATCTTTCCTTCTGTTTCTCTGATGAACGAGTGGCTGCATGTTCAGGAGCCATTGTGTATATCCTCAACTCAAAGGTACAAGATGATGCACAGTTTCACAGTTTCCCTCAGTGAACACTATCAGGTACTGGATACATTTGAACTCTTGGGTCAGCTAAGTATTGTATTTTCTATTGCTCATATACAGATGTGACGCTAAAAACTGACACAAAATCTGTACTTTACTGTGATTGTGTGATATTGATTCAGTTTGATGTGTCATTATCCATCAGTTGTATTTACTTTATCTTCTTCTTTCTCACCAGAGAAATGAAGTTATTTCAACCTTGACTGGCCACCTGGGACCTGCAACATCAGCAGAGTTTTGTCCTTGGAATAAAGACATTCTCATCACAACATCAGAAGACCGCACTTTTAACGTACTCACATAAGATTCTTACATCATAGAATACAAATTTATCACATTTGTTTTAGTAATTATGTTAATTTGTATATTGTATATTGCTCACTGTAATTGAATTGTAATAACCATGAAGTACTCTTCCTGTAGGTGTGGGATTTAAGAACTGGAACTGTTTGCTACCAGTCTTTTGTGCTTTCAGGTACGATATGATTATTTTGTTTTAATATATCCGTGAGCATCATACAATACGGCCATTAATTTGTACAGTAGAAACTAAAGAACTTGAGGAATTTAAAATTGGAAATTTGCTATTGTACAGTATCCAAATGTATGTGACAAGGCTTATCTTTAACTATTTAAAACTTGTAAGATCGACCTTCATTTTTTAAATGGCATGTTTTTTGTCATGACTACGGCCAATCCTAGCAGAATGGGTAAATATGTCATATCTAAAAAAATCTGTCTATTCTACAGCCTCTCCTCTGCTCAGTGCATTCTTCTTAGAGGAGACGAGGCAGATTATCACTGGTTCAACTGATGGACAGGTAAGTGACTGAAACACACCAACACACACACACACACACACACTCACAAACCCACAGCTCAAAATCACCACCAGAGACAGAAACACAACAAGCTACAGTATACAATAAAACAAATTTGTATCTGTTGGATTTAGGTTTGGAGCTTTTCCCTCAAAGACGACCACAAGTGTCACCTGGTGACCAAAATGGATCTTCAGAAGATGGAAAAAAGACATCACACGCACCAAGAGACTGTGAGACATCCAGCAGGTGAATTTAAGAAAGTCAGAGTAGTAGAAGAAATTCATCAAGCAGAGTCTATGCTTCTCTCTAGCTACCTATACAATTTTACTGATTTTCAATGCTACTTTTTATACATTTTCTTCCAGGGGGTGCAGAGCAATCAGCTGGAGATAATGTGGAAACTGCAAAACCAGTCCTCAAAATGGCTTCATGTAATTCATTCACTGTCACTGGTAACGAACAGAAAAAGTAAGAAAACACTTAACATTTATTGACAACTCATCAGTGTCAGATATGTGTCCTTGATCCAAGAATCTGCTTTTTGTGGCTTCCTGATTTACTTATGAGGGACTCATAATTTCCAAAGTGGAGTTCATACTGTCAGCATAGTGCCCAGTCTCAGTCTCAAGGGCCCAACCTTCGTCAATGCACCTTATTAGTGGACCTTATCATGAGGAAGTTCAGTTTTACTTCATTTCTGCTAAGGAATGTTAAAGTGGAAGACATGAAACTGTCAGTGCTGTGACCATGGTCTTGGCCTCCGTTCAGTTCTTATTTCCACAAGATAACAATTGTATGTGATTCAGGAAAATATTAGAAAAGCAAATTAAACAGTCTTCTTGACAAAAAACAACAAATAGCAGCACATTTCTTCCATTAAAGCTCTAGAGATCTCATACTGTCACAAAGTGTGGAAAAATTCTTGAACTAAAAAGCCACATAGTTATTGGCTAATTGCTGCACGTGTCCACACAGTCACAGAAAACATCAGAGAAACCTTCACTCATCGCAGGAAACTTTGCAGCCTCGTAGCATAAACAGTTTCAGGCTGTTAAAACACTTGTTATAACAGGAAGCAGGCACTTAAAAAAGTGACAGACGTAACTGTGTGTATTTTGTGAACCATTTGAATGAGACAGACTTTCCTTCCTCATTGCTCTCCGCAAAGCACATGACGCCAGAGCATTATCCGTCATCATCATTATCATAATATTTACTGTCGACCAAGAAGACTTTGAAATAAAATTAATTAATCGCATGAGGTCTGCAACCACTGCTCGTGCACATGGGTAACCTTACACACACCAAGGGTTATTAGCTTCGCACCCCACGGAATTTGCCTGTTTCAATGTTTGCATGACATTTACATGTTCTCATTTGGCAGATGCTTTTATTCAGAGCAATGTACTACTGGGAGACAATGTTTGTCTCCCATCCACACACAATGTTAAAGAGTTTCAAAGGGATAGTTTGGATATAATTCAATATTAAAATGGTTTTGATGCTCAGTTTCTTTGTCATCCAAACATTTGTCAAACTTTCACTCACAGGTCCATATTAAAACCTCCACGTGTAGAACTTTGACTTTAGTGCCCCCCCAGTCGTAGACTCAAAAAAGATGCCTCGGCACACAGAAACATAGTGCGATGCAGTGATCACATAAAACTTGCCCACATAATGGCTATAGTTGTCACCATTTTTTAAAGAAGCACAAGCTCAGCATGAACATCATGATTTACTAAAATGTAAAACTTGGCTAACATAACATATTCATCATATTCCCCACAACAGCGTAACCCCAGCATGTAGCTCAGTGCAGGAGGTGGATAAAAACCATCCATCAGACTCAAATTCCTCTCCTTTCTTCTCTGTGTGGTTGCAGTTTCCATCTTGCAGGGTGTGCATAGTTTAGTCTACATTAAATCAATGGAAACTTAAATAAAAACCCTTCAGTCCTATGGTGTGCATACCATACCACTTTCATTTCAAGTTTCATTGTGTTTCCCTGTGTAAAAGTGCTTTTTAGGGGAAATCCTTAAACAAAGTTTTTACCATATGTTTCTGTGTGTGGCCTTGCAGGGACAACAGCTGTTTGTGTATCGGAAGCTCTGATGGCCTTTATGTGGTAGATCTGGCTACTTCAGAACTCCTAACAGTGCTGTATTTCAAAGGTAAGCTGGTAGTAATGTGACAATGATATGTATCATTGCATCAAGTATTTCTGCTAATTTAGTGCACCATCACTTTTACAGAAATCGTCTTTATCATTCCAAAAGAAAAACTTTTGACATTCTTTTTTAGGATGCATAACCTCCACTCTCTAATTTTGGTACCTAGAAATATCTCAAAGTTGTCAATGCTACCTTAGATAACACATTTTCAGTGACAGTGTCAACAAAAACTCAACATTATAAGTGTTAAGGAGAAATTATTGAAATATTTATGTCTTGCAATGATATGTTTATAATGACGGCTCACATTAAATGTCCCAATGATATTTGATGTCAGTTTTTTGCATAACGAGCTTAACCTGATATGAACTGGTATTTGAATGCAGCAAAACTAATTTGCTCATTCTTTTAGATTACCCCAACCTGAGCATCACAATGGCAAGGTCGTGGTCAATCTCTCCAGGACGGAATAACTCTGTGAGTCATGCTAATAATATCTTGATAAACCAGATGAAGACATTTTACTGACCTCTATCATTACACTGGTCCATCTCTCTTCCCAGTAAATCTTTTCAATTTATGATGATGAATGTAACATAGAAATGACCACTGAATTTATTTTAAAAAACTAAATCATTCCC